ATAATATCGATATATTTTTGTCAAATTTTTATGATATCTTCAAACATATATTTTATTCAAAAATAAAAACATCATCGCTTTCTCAAAATCACATAAAGCCATATTAKAACATCGACTGAGATAAATAATAAAATAAAATATTAAAATCATGATGTATCTCGCTGCATTGCGCGAGTACGCTTCTAATTTACACTAAATAAAATTTATAAAATAAAATTGACTACCATTGTTATGCAAGATGAGATGTAACAAGAGACAAATATGGACGGCAAAACCCATCTTAATTAAATATATAATATTTTTGACTAATTATCTTCTTGTTATTAATAAAAAAAAGTCCTCGTTCGTCGTAGTCTTACGTTTAAATCCAAGAAAAAATAAAAACTTATTTATGGTCACGGGGATTTAAATACAGTGACTTCGGGCTATCTGTAAAACGGGTGATCGTCCTGGGATTGGTCGGTTCGCATAGCTGGTTGGATATCCAGATTAATAAAAAAAATCGTTGTTCAAAGAAAAAAAACACAATATTTTATAGTCGACTGAAATGTGATATCATATAACGTTAAAAATGGCCGATCTCATCTTAACCTGGAATCTCTATTCCTAATAAATCAACAAAAACACGACAATTAACTTATCTGTCGATCGAACGAACGCTTTCAACTAGCAATAAAGAAGCATTCATGTCATGTCATCTTAAGTCCCGATGAAATTATAAAACAAATATACGAACCTTAGAAATCAACGTTAAAAGAAGAATGGGGTTGTCGTCTTTATATTTATATCGTCTCTAAACGTCTTAACCGTTCATAATAAACCTTCGAAGAAATGGGACAACTCGAAGGTAATTCCTTGGCGAACCATTTTAGCCACGGACATCCGTTGAAATCTCACGCTTATATCACTCGAAAGGTCACATGTTCAGCGTGTAAGCAAGGTGTTTCCGGATCGTTTTACGCTTGTCTTTCATGCAATTTCTACCTTCATAAAAAGTGTTTCGATCTTCCTCAAACGTTGAAACACCATAGCGATCGACGACATAATCTTGTTCTTTTGTCTTCTCCTGCGTACCCCGAAGGGTTTTTCAAATGTAACGCTTGTGGGACCCATGGGAATGGGTTTTCGTACCATTGTTCTGATTGTCAAATCGATTTGCACACCACTTGTGCTTTGATGCCGCCGTCGGTGAACCACACCGCCCATGATCACACCCTTGGCCTTTGTTTTACACCACCGTATGAGAACCAGGGGTTCAGTTGCGACATCTGTAAGAAACCCGGCTCGAACCATTGGCTCTACCGGTGTGGTTTATGTGATTTTGATGCTCATATGAAGTGTGCCATGGCTAGAACCACTTCTCGCGAAGTACTACCCATGGCTAGAACCACTTCTCGAGAAGTACTACCCAAATCTACAAGTCTTCCTCATTATAGAACTAACCACTTCTCACCACCACAACCACCACCACTGCAGTCCGCGACTCCGTCACCATCACTGGTCCAAATATATTATAACTCTTCATCGACGGAGTATCCTCTAGCTGATCATCATCACATGGCTAGAACTGCTAGTTCTCAAGCAGCCTTGAATAAGTCTGCAAGTCTTCCTCATTATGAAACGCATCACCATTTCTCACCACCACCACCACCACCACCACCACGGCCACCCGTCCAACAACCATATTACTACCAGGCGGAACATCATCCACAATATCATCAATCGAACCACTACCAGGGTGCAACAACCATGGGTGTTCCGGTGCAGACTTCAAAAGATAATGGGTTCATGAAGAACATGGCTGGGCATGCAGTGGAGGGATTGGTTGGAAGTGTAGTAGAGGCTGTTCTTGAAGGGATGGTGTCGTAAATCATATTCTTGGAATAATAGCTACTTCTGATTCCATAAACTCACGTACACACCAGGTTCATTCAATCGGAATCATGGTTTAATTTTCTTTCATTAATGTTTGTTTCTACTATTTTCAGCAGTATCCGTACGTGTGTTGAATTGACTTCTGGTTTGCGTTCGATCAAATAAAACCCATGAAGATTAGTGTTATGGATATAACCAAATGTTACGTATTCATTGGAGAAGCCGATTCAATTCACATGTGAATATTTGCTGTTTTCTTGGAAGGAAATTGATAACTTATATATAATATCACATTAATATGATTTACGGAATTGGTTTATGGAAATTGTTTCATTTCAATAACACAAACAAAAACTCTTTTTCGTTCCCTTTCTTTTCTTTTTCATTCATCTCTCTATTTCGTTTATTTTCTTCCGAAAATGTAATAAACGAATCCCGGAGGGATAATATACAATAATTTCACAGCACGTGGACTAAATAGATTGGTCGTTTACCTAAACGCTTACCTCGTAAACACTTACCGGTAAAATTCAACATTATCGCTTACTTACCGGTTAAGATTTTATTCACTAAAACGCATCGTATGCAACAATTCATCTCGGTAAGCGTTAACCATGGTAAGAGTCATCGTTCTCACTTACCGGGTAAGACTTTCGATTCTTGCCTTTGCTCTTACCGAGTAAGATTTTTAGTCCTTATCATATTCATCCGGTAAAGTAAAATGACTTGGTAAACACTTACCCGAATAAGCGTTTGGTAAACAACACCTAAATTTTAACTTTGTTGATGTATCTCGTGACACAAAAGGTCAAGGGAAGAATATGTCATAAACGAAATTAGATGTGCATGGGTTTTGCCAATATATAAATAATCAAGAGTAAATTACATTTTTCATCCCTATGATATGACAAACAAAATAGATGATGAATTACGAGTTGTTTTTATGTTTATCAAATGCTTATCCATGGTTGTGAACTTTTTAAACCAAATAATATTGAAAAAACTTAAAATTAGCACTTGACAATCAACACCTAACATGAGCAGAGCAGCCGAGCAGGTCGTGAGTGGTGAGCGGACTCGTAAGCACATGGGATTCGTGAGGGATCTTTGCGTGAAATTGTGTGCCCATGACTCCATGAGATCATACGCCTGAAGTGAATTGGGGAGAGCGTAAGCATGAAGTGAATCACTGAGGCGAGACTGTTGGTCACTAGAACAGACAACAGAGGCCGTATAAAACTACCACTAACCAACAGGAGGATCATCGTATTCTAAAGTCATCGATAAGATATCCGACTACCATAAAAGGGTTGCTCTTATGAAATACATACATCAACTGTTCATCAAATCAAATAGTAATCGGTTTTTCGGCAACATGTCAGGAGGTAATTCATAATACCCTGTTGAGATAGATTTTCAAAAGCTATGAAAACTTCGACTCCAGTATCCGAACAAATATTTCAATAACTTATTTTGACGAGAAATCGGTTTCTTTAAAGAAACTGAATTTGATCTAAAATGGTAAAGTTATTGGTGGTCCTAAGTGAAAATCAGGGTTGTATCTAATGGTCAACATTAAATGATTTTTTAAAAGTATTCCAGGAGCAGTTGCATCCCCTCGTTGCTATGGTTCATTTATTACAAATGCTTCCATCGATAATAAATTTTGCGGAATTGACCTATGCCACTAACTTTGTTTATCTCTTATCCATTAAGTGAAGTGATATTCCTCCCAGATGAGCATATTTTAGTCAAAGTTTATATGGGTATAATATGATATTACAATGACGTAACAGTTGGTAATGATGTTTTTTTTATTATTCTTCCAACTGATTTCATTCATTCATTCATAAACTGGATTGAACGTGCCATTAAGAGCTCCAGCTGCAAGAGGATAGGATCTTTAGGCTGGCATCAAATGCTGCATTGGTTTGACTTCTTTGCTTCTGTTATTGAAGCAAAACCCTTCCAAAAAAACTAGAACCTTATTATTATTATTTTCTTTGTTATACCTCGAACCACCACCACACTTAGTTGAAACGTGGACCACCATCCCCATACCTTCACTTCAACTACTGATTACCACCATCCAGTGCCACAAATTTAAATATTATGAACATTAGAATTGTACTCTTGCAATGTATCGAGACATATCTTGATTTTAATGTTTCGTTTTATTTCTTTTTTATGTCGATATTTTATGTGGTTTTTGAGAAAACGATAGTGTTTTTATTTTTGAATAAAATATAAATATGAAAATATTATAAAATTTTGAAAAAAATATATATCGATATCAGTATCAAATTAATCATTTTTAAAGTTCTTGTGTTTTGGTGTAATTCTTAATTTAATTTTTTAATTATAATTTAATTTAGGTTTAGTTACAAAGAAATTTAATTTAGGTTTAATAATATTTTTTTTATAAAGATAATAACTAAGTATTCTGTTAGAACTCAATGATTATTTTAATTATATTTTAGATTTTTTATATTTAAAATGATATGTTTATCCAATATTTGTTTATGTTTATCTATAGTTAGTTACACGAATTAAAATATGACGTTTTAATAAGTTGTACTTATGCACACTTTACTTGTAATCTTAAGTTTTAAGTAATATGCATCAATAACCAGTACTTTGTGCATAAAAAATGGTTTTTAGAGTTTTTGTCAAATATTTTATAATATAGTATAGATAATGCGTGCACATTCTTTGAAAATTTAAAATACAAAACACATGTATTACAAATCGAAAACCAAAAAAAAATCAAATGCGATAGAATTTGTGAACTTAATGTAGCTAGTTCAAATAAAATTTGGAATGGTTACACTTGACGATATGAATCATTTGAAAAACAAAAGTATTTGTTCTGTAGCAGATCTTTTACAAGAGTAATTTGGATTGGCCTTGGTTCATTTAATATGGCTCGAGGAAACATATATGCAACACTCAAGCAAAACTGGATACCAACTCCTCAGAGCTTAGTAAATTCAACTACATTAACAGTTACTTATAAAAATCATTGGACAAGGACGTGTTGTAGAAGTAACCTATATTATCTTTTGGGTGGAATTGCCACAACACGGGCGTTCTTCTTAGCAAGAATCCGAACTAATTGAATACTTGTGTCCCAAATTTCAAATCCAAGATCGATATCTCCAAAGTAGATTGTGATCTTTGACCTATATTTCATTTACCCTAAAATTCTTATAGTCGTTTTTCTTTACTCTATCTCTCGTTTCTTCGTCGACTTCATTTGATTACTGCCACCTACGTCGTTGCTCTTACTATTGCCCTGACCTCGCCTCGATTGCCTCATGTAGTTGCAATCGCCGACCACCCTTCAACTTCTTCGTAATTGTTGTTTGCCATTAGTCATAATCCTTCCCATCGACCACCAACAAACTTTTGTTCCGGTTAATACTCCTGCCTGCCTACTTCCTTCATCATCTTTTGGTTTTGTCACCACCGACAGCCTCTCTTGAACCCAGCATCTTTACTCTCATTGATCGTATTAAGAACGATTAAGGTTTTACCCCTGTTGCTTCTATTAGGGTTAGAGACCAGACAAATTTTACAAAATGACTAAAATACCCACGTGAAGAGATCCTAATTCCATAACAAAAGTGATCACTCATATAAATTTGCAATAATTAAACTGTATGGACCAATATTGAAACAATTGACATACCACGGGGATTAAAACCGTAATTTACTCAATAATTAGAAGAAAAAATCAATTAAATGGATATTAGTTAAAATTGGGGGTATCTCACTCGCTTCGCAATCTCCCGTCATTCTCACTCCAGATTGCTGTTACCATGCGAGGTGATTCCGTCGATGTCGAATTCAAGAAATCCAACGGCATATCTGTCTCAATCGCTTCTTCTGCCGATGAAACCCTACCATCTCTGCTTGGATTAAGGTTTTGATCTTTAATTCCTGTTGTATCTCTTGTTGTACCCGGTTAAAACCCTGATTTGATTTTTGTTCGCTGAGTGCCTAGTTTTTGTGTTTTTCATCACAAGCTTGCAGCTTTCATCTTCTATTTCTCGATACCTTTAAAATCAGTGTTTTCCCCTCTGTTTCTTATTGGAAGTTATTAGGGTTTCGACTGGAGGTGATTCAATTTCGTAACAAGTATGGGTTTGGTGGTAGAACTGATGCACGAAGTTAGGGTTTCAAATCGGAATTAGGGTTTTGTCTAATAATTTGAGGAGGTATGTATATACTGCTTCGATTTTAGATTCCGTTTCCCATATGAAATTCGAATTTGGGGTTTTATGATGCTAAATTGCACCTAAAGGTGGTGGTTGGTGATTTGATGTTGTTGGCCTGAAAAATTGAATTGGGGGTTTTGTATATCCTCAATGGGGGATGAATCGCCACAGAACACCATGAATCTTGATCTTAATTTGGCACCTGTGGTTCATCCTTCCCAAGATGATGAGCCACATACTATGAGCTTTGAAGATTGGCTACATGGGTCAGTGAGCTTTGAAGATTGGCTACATCGTCCTAGGTCTTGGCAGCGGTTGCGGTCAATTTGGAGACCGGTTCCAATTCCGATGGAAGCTAGAAATATGGCTCTAGGGTTAACAGGTAGCAGCGGTTTGGTAATGGACGAGAGAAATGCTTCTGATGATGAACGACATCCGGAGATGATCAAAACAGACAAAAACGGTGATAAGAACTTAGAAAATGTGGATGTGGGTAAGAAAGATGTCGAGAAGAGCAATGGAGATGAAAGCAGCTTTTTCGATTGTAATATATGCTTGGATTTGGCGAGCGAGCCTGTTGTGACTTGTTGTGGGCACTTGTTTTGTTGGCCGTGTCTTTACCGTTGGCTGTTTGTTCACTCCGAAGCAAAAGAATGTCCAATTTGCAAAGGGGAAGTAACCATGAAGAACGTAACTCCCATTTACAGCCGTGGGAATCACACACATGTAACTGATGTGGATTCTAGTGTCAAGATTCCTAGCAGGCCACAAGCAAAGAGGATCGAGAGCTGGAGACAATCTATTCAGAGAAACGCACTTAATCTGCCAATGTTTGAAATGATCCGAAGGCTTGATAACAGATCACAGGAAATCCCAAATAACTCGTTGCTAAATAGGATTTTCACTTCTAGAGGGATACGGAGGGGACAAGATATGGCTGCAATTGGATCCCCGGATGCTGTAACGGACTCACCAGAGTTCAGTCCGGCTAACACCGAGCCAGGCGGTTCAACCCTCTTAGCACGCCGGTTAAACCGACCAGCTACTGTGACAAACCTTACATCTGCTTTAAGTTCTGCAGAAAGTTTTGTGGATTCATATTTCCGCGACCACCCTGATGAGCGGAACCAAGAACAACTTCCATTGATGGATGATCGACATTCAATGTCGAGCATTGCTGCCATCATACAGTCGGAAAGCCAGACAGCAGATACTGCAACTGAAACAGATTCAAGGGTGTCGATTTCAACTTCAAGAAGAAGATATGAAACATCAACATCGAGGGTTTCGGATGTTGACACTGGAGATTCTCGATCCCGAAGGAGGAGGTTGCAGTAGAATGAAGGTTTCCATTGAAGATCTTTGAGCAAAACTCGAGGGAACTTCAGTTATGTGAGTTCTAAAACTATGTTACAAATTGCCTTTCATATACTTTGTCTTCTGCAATTAGGTAGCTGGTCAAGAGTTTTCTGCCATTGCATGTTTATGAGTTTTATGCTCCAAGTTTGTGTTGGGAATGGTGTTACTGTTTTATCTTACAGTTTATGACTATTAGTTTTCTTATGATATGATAATAATAAACTTGGTTAAAATTGACCCCTTCTCATATAAATGGTTAAAATTGCACTAGTTGGCAAAGGCGCTGAGCTACTTTACTCAAATACACAACAGGTTTAAGTTTGAATCCGCTGGTTCACCAAACGTCTCTCAAAAGTGAAATTGACTCAAATAGTCATTTAATTCATTTAAGTTGGTCTCCAAGCCATTCCTCTCCCGGGTTTATCCAAATGTCATTACGTTTGCAATATTGCGGATGTGGCTATTAACAACGTAGTGACATTTGGGTAAATTCGGGAGAGAAATAGCTGAAAGACCAATTTAAATAGATAAATGATAATTTGAGTCAATTTACCCCATCAAATATATTGATACGGATGACTTGTGTCGGACTCGGGTCTAACAAATAACTTGTAAAATATTTGGATTAATGGGCCATGATGCATAAGCCCCAACCCATTTGGAATTATACAATTAGCCCAATAACTTTATATAAATGGCCAACTCAAGCGGTTGAAAATAATGGATTAATTAGTTGAAAATTGAATATTGTCATATTGGATGGATCGGATCAATTAAGCGGATAACCAATATTAATATTGAATGGATGGTGTCAATCTTATACGATCCAATCGTTCATTGGATTAGATTGAATTGGTCCTCCAATGTGGATCGGATGGCAAAAATCCATATCTTTTAATGGATTGATTGGATTTGATCGAAACAATCTAAATCCATTAGATTTCAACCAATAAACATCCTTCACATATATACACATTATACGTTTTCATTGGAATATACAATATGTTTTGTTTTATATATCATATATGTATGTGCACGTTTTTCTTATCACGTTTTTTTTTGCCCATACCCATACATCACAAACAAATTTCACGTGGGTGGGTTCGTTAAGTAAAACGAGATCACGTAAGAGGCGGGTCAATCAATAGTGTTGGTTTTTTCAGTTAAATTGGTTTTTTAGCAATAACACGTGTAATTTTGAAAATTTATTAGAACTAATCAATCTTGTACTTGGAAATTATAAGTCGAACAATTCAGACACTTAACAGTTACGAATCATTACTACAAAAATGAGCTTATCATGATGTTTACATAAACATTTTTTAACAAGTGACGTATAAAAAGGTTAATACAATGTTTTGCTTAAGCTCAACTTTGTTCGAACAACATATTTTTTTTCACAATATATAATTTGTTAGATTCTACAGCTTTGTCTTGTTGATTTATTTTAAAACTTTTGTATGTACAATTTTTTAATCTTATAAACTTATAAGTTTTATTAAGTACCATAATAGAATATACTGAATAAGCATGGAAATCATCTAACAGTTACCGTTTCTAGTTTATTAATTGTCACGAATTTTAATAATCAGATAATTAGTTACAAGAAAGTAATTAAAGCCATTAGTATGGTACTTAGATCATTTTACATTTTCCTTCAAAAATCAATTTTCTTACGAACAATATCTCACATGCTTTTTATATGGAAATTATGGTCCGAGTCCCTTGAACAAATTAATTGCAGCCATAGTCATTGTGGTTTCATTTTTATTGCGAATTGGGTCCCTTGACCTAATCCTGTTAACTTTATCTCCATTAAATCAGGGGTAATATAGTAAATTTACTATTTTTAAATAAAATATTTTATTGTACATGGTTAGATGACATTAGTACAAGTGTTAAAAACATCGATACAAAAGAAAAAAAAACCATAAAACTCATCCTCATCCCTAATGACCATCTGCTCGGGTCAAACTCTAGTTTCTGATCATCTTCTCTGGCAAATACCTCATTTTCGGCCACCATACAGTATAATAACACACAATTAGGTGTTTCCATCTTCATCATCTTATCTGATTTTCAATCATCGATCTTCTTTGATAAGATGATTTTTCTCACAATTTGATTGGTGCATCCGTCTTATTAAAAGTGGGTACGAGTTTGCTACTCCAATGAACACTGCAATGCACAACAAATCAATTTTCCAATTTCTACAACTTGGTTTAATAATCTACGAACTGGTTATCGCCAAAACAAGTGATTGCTCTACAAAATATACCTTGAAAAACCAAATAATAGTAAGTTACTATGCAATTGTGGACTGATGAATCATATACGGTAGGTTCACCCAACCAAAATCATTTTTTGGAGATTCAGAAACAGAAAATCGAATGGTACATCAATCAAAATCCAATAGAAAGAAAAACATTTAGATAGAATCCATGGATATTGAAATCTAAACTCTAAAGATATCATTGCCAGTTTGATTTGGATTTATTACTGATTATGAATCTTTTTATTTTTATTTTTCAAGTGTGTGAGGCTTGAGTAGTTTTTGGGGTTAGATTTGAGTTTATATTGGGGTTTCATGGAGGAATTTGATCTTTCGGGATTGATTTATGAGTTCCTTCAGAATAGTCTAATCTCTTGGCCAAAGTTTTGAATTTTTTAGGAATTGGATTAGGTATCTTTGTCTTTGGTCTGCTTTGGGTGTCGGTAAAATGGATTCAATCCATTTATTTGATCATCTTATTGGTATATTTCTCATGCTCGGTTCTGAAAAGATGTTTTATGAAGTTTGTTCGTATATTTTGACATTGTTGATGATGTTTGAAGTAACACCCAGTTGAGGGTTGTGCAAGTTTTATAGGCAAGATCAGGAGTGAGTCTCGTGACTAGCCCCGTAACTTTGGTCGCAGGCTAAGTCGTGTAACTCCTTGAGGGTTGATTTTTCGGTTTTTTTTTGTGTGTTTATTTTGGAAACCAGTGTAGGTGTAAATGATGTTTTGGTAAGTTTATAATTGGTTTTCAAGTTTGGCATCATTTTGGTTGAGTTTTAACCTTTTGGTGAAGTTTTGGAATTCATTCCTGTAATCCAATTTGTAGCCCCAAAGTGACATGTTATGTATATGTTTTCTGTTATATGTTATGAGGAATTGTGAGTTGTTACATATATTTTTGTTATTTTTAAATAAAAAATTAAAAGGACTAAAATACCCTTGATTTAACGGAGCTAAGATTAATGATGTTATTTCAAGGGATCCAATTCATAACAAAAATGAAATCACGGTAACTATACGTGTAATTGTTATTTTTTAAGGGACTCAATCTAAAATTTCATATAACCAAAGGGTGGGAATTTGTAATTTACTCTAAATCTTGATTACTATGCTTCCTGAAAAAGCAAAACTAACGTTCAAATAAAAACCACCCAGTTTGTATAAACCGTGAAAACCATATTCAACCAATCATAATTTTTCATTTTGTTCATTTTTTTTTTAATTATGAGAGGTTGATTAACCATTTTTATTGTGGAGAGTGTTAATCATGGATATTATCATCTTCATTATTTTAATTTTAGAGAAATACATGAAACAGTTTTATTAAAATTTCATTAAATATTATATGAAACAATTTCATAATCATATATGAAACAAATTCATCAAAAAAAGTATTATATGAAACAATTTCACAAGATTAAATAATTTAATGAAAATATTCATAATATTAAACAACGAAATCGACGTATGAGAGTGGTTTGTACGGTTTGTACAAATGAGGGTGGTTTTCATTTGATCGCTCATTTATATATATATATATATATATATATATATATATATATATGGGCACATTCAAGAGAGAACTGAATAGTTTGTGGTAACTGTGAGATTCAATCTCAACCACAAATCAACGGATAAATTAGGAATTTAATAATTATGGTAGTTTGAGTTAAAATTATAATTAAAGGCATTTTAGGTATTTTTAAAAAACTCATCTCTCCTCTCTCATCTCTCATCTCTCATCTCTCCGACCTTCGATCTCCGGCCTCCGGTGAACAAAAATCCGGCAGGTACCAAGTAATCACAAAGATACACAATGTGATACCCATTGTGATATACTGTGATACCATTTGGGTACCACTGTATATCACAATGAGTATCACATTGTGTATCTTTGTGATTACTTGGTACCTGCCGGATTTTTGTTCACCGGAGGCCGGATATTGGAGGTCGAAGAGATGAGAGAGGAGTTTTTTTAAAATGTCTTCTAATTATAATTTTAACTCAAACTATCATAATTATTAATTTTCTAATTTATCCGTTGATTTGTGGTTGATATTGGATCTTACAGTTACCACAAACTAATCAGTTCTCATTTGATTAAACCCCTATATAGGGTTGGGTTCACGTAAGACCAAGGGTTTTTCGTGAGACCCATAAGACCAATTTATGTTGATTGATCAACTTTATAAATTAATGATCTAATGGTCTAAAGTTGCATGGTGGCAATTTTGTGATTATTGAGAAGTCTCGTGACAATTTTTGTGATTATGAATGTTCAGATTGTAAATCTAATCCAAAGGTTGCGAATTGGTCTTACGGGTCAAATGAAAAACCATTTGTCTCACATGATCCCAAGTCTATGTATATATATATATATCTATCTATCTATCTATCTTCTCTTTGAGGTCCATTTGTTTTTTTAAATGAATTTAGGTTTTGTCTGTTAGCAACTTAATGAGTTTAATGTGACATACAACTTATTTGGTTAGTTTTATATCTGTTTGGTAGTAGTTTGATTCAGTAAGCTTATAAGGGAAGTTTTATTATAGAAAATCAAGTTTTTTCCCCTCCAGATTAAAAAAACACATTCCTTCCATCCATTAACAATAATCTCAAACAAAAACCTTATCAATCTATATAGACAGATTAATCCACATATACAATTTTATCCATACCAGACTTAACAAAAAACCAACCAAACAAACCCCTTGATAACTTATTCTTTAAACATTACACAAGGGTTTTTATGATATGGTTATTAACCAGCGACTATAAATCCCCATATATGTATTATCTACTTATCCATATTCAATCATATTATTTCAGATATATATCAATAAAAAAAACAGTCTTTGTGGTTGATTATATTAATTATGAATTGATTATTTTTTTTATTAACCTGGATATCCAATCCGCTATGCAAGT